TCCTGAAGCTGAGGCTCCAATACTTTGGCCATCTCATGAAAAGAGAAGACTCCCTGGAAAAGCCCCTGATGTTGGGAAGGTGTGAGGACAAGAGGAGAAGGGGACAGCAGAGGACGAGGTGGTTGGACAGTGTCACCGAAGCTACTAACATGAATTTGACCCAACTCCTGGAGGCAGTGGAAGATAGGAGGTCCTGGTGTGCTGTGGTCCATGGGTCACGAAGAGTCGGACATGACCTAATGACTAAACAACAAGATGATGCCAATTTTTGTCTAATTCAGTGGTACAGCAATCTTCCAGGATTAATGGGGATGTCTTGTACTGTGATAGGGAGCTCTCACAGGTGGTAATCAGAACTTGTCCTATGATAGTTTAGCAATTTATGAAGTTAGGGTGTGGTTTGTTTCTGTATTGAAGTGGCAATGGAGACAGATTTTATAACATGCCAACTTGCTCTTGTGAAATAATTTTAAAATGTGAGGTCAGGAAAAAAAAATATACAGTATATGAATTTAGGAGTTTGCTAATATCACTTCCATAATGCTTATTGCAAAGTACAAGTCAAAGAAGTAGGAAAACAGAGATTTAATGTAGCCTGCTAGTTAAATAAATCGTAGTAAAACAATGGTTTCATTCAATCGATGTTGGATTTCAATTATGTAAGCCACCTTGGGCCCTGTTTTAGGAGACAGGCGGTGTAAAAATATTTTAAATAAATAAAGAATAAGCTGTATGAACCTGTCAATCTGAGATGCTCTCAATGAAATAATTTTATGCTTACATTGTTCAAATGCAGGTAAATTTGGAAACACTTCTGTAACTTCCACCTTGTCTCCTGCCTGGATATAGTGGATTTTATTGTTTTCTGTGTGCTTAGTTTAAGTTGATGACTGCAGTCCAAAATATGAGAATGGTACTGCATTTGTAGATTAAGGTTTCCTCATTCTTTACTCATAACTGAAGCTTTCTGTATCCTGCCCCCCCAAGACTTAAAGGGATTTCCAGAGGCTTTTTTTCTGCTGATCTCCTGCTAAAATCAGTACATTGGATGGCCTTGAATGATTGCATATAACTGGTACCTACTCTGTGAAATTTCTTCATTAGAGAGAGTTATCTGGCTCTACAGTATGTTTAAAAGCACTTGCTCTATCCAGCTTTTAACTGAAATATTTATGGTAATTGCCTTAGTTTTATATTTTATTCTGTATTTTAACTGAGCTGTTTTAAAAATGTTTTAAGCTTTTTAATTATTTGATCTAGAACTGTAGTGTGTTTATATTATGGGATGGTTACAGTCTTCAAAAGCAGATAAAATACATTTTATAAGAAAAGAAATGGTGAGCAAAGCTGGAGTGAAAGAGGGAAGAATCATTGAAATGTTGGTCGTATTATCTGTATGAGGGCCTTCCCCTTGCACAAATAAGGTTTCAATTAAAACCTGTTTAGCAGAGATGGGCAATTTTGGCAGATCTGGGGTCATTTTTCTTCTTCGGGACTTCTGGAGGCTGCACATCCAGGCAGATTTGTTTTTAAAGAAATGGAACTGAAAATGCCTAGAAATCTACTCCTAGTTTTGAAAAAAAAAGTGTCTGTGACCTATTTAAAATGAATCACTACTTTCTAGAAACCGCAGGCTTTCTAGAACTGCCACTCATTTGGGTGGGGGGAGAAAGTGAGTGATGAGAAAGCTGGAGGTCAGAAAACAACCTTGAGGGACTGCATGTTGTCTCAGACTTCACTCATCTTTGCTGTATAGAAACATCCTATAAGTCTTTGTCTGCCTGCCTGCCTTCCTGGTTTGTCTTTTTATTGTAATTAAAATGAAGAACATTGATTTCAGATCTCCCCATCTTGCTTGCTTACATGAACTTCAGTAGTCCTCATTCCCTCCAGCAATGTTGTTTCCATGTCACTGCGCAGCTTGTTAGAATAAGTCAGGTAGAAATATCAACTTCCATGTTTACTAGCTTGAACTCAGGCATACAAGTTCTGCAAAATAGTAAAAACAAAAATTTTGTCTTCTTGTTTTTACTTCCCATTCAGCACTTTCAGACCATGTTGAAGACTAAGCTGAATGTCTTAACTCTTCGGAAGGAACCTCTCCCCACAGTAATCTTCCATGAACCAGAAGCTATTGAGCTGTGTACTACTACTCCATTAATGAAGACCCGAGCACACGCCGGATGCAAAGTATGTAACGATTTAAAACTAAACGACTTGTTTGCTGTAAGACTGTTCCATACCAATTAGCAAACAGTTGGAAAAGGAATCTAAACATCTCTTGTTTGGATAGCCTTGCAGAATATGTGCTCAAAAATATGTTTAATGATATTAAATTACTTTGTTGTTAGTATGCAAATACAGAAGCCTCAGGAGATATTGCCTTTCAAAATATTCACTCTGTATCTATTTCACTATTTCAGAGCCTTGCAAAAATAACTATATTTGGTTTCTTTTACTGATTTCCATTTAGCTGGATAAAAGTTTATAATACACAGACAAGAAATCTGGATCAGTTCTTAATCCCTTGAGGCATCCTTTTAGAAATATGAATCAGAAATCCCACAAGAAAGAAAGCAAAGAGGTTGCGATTTAAAATGCATATTAAGAAACATACATATGTTTGAATAGAAATATTGGGATTGGGCTGGCAAGACTCTTAGCTCATGAGATCATTACTGCAATCTCCACTTAACATCCTCAGACAAGGCTTCAAAAGACCTCTTTGCTGAAGTCCTTTGAGAACTACTGCTGAGTGGCATGTCCTGGCTTGAAACTTGCTGTGCCTCTATGTAGGGCAATTTCTTGTTCCGAATTTTATCAGTGGCATAATTGCCCAGTTAGAGAAAATTTCAGGTCTTCAAAACACTGGATTGAACCCTTAAATCCATGGTCTTATCTTCATTGATAGAACACTGTGATTTGTAGACTTGATTATTGCTCTTACAGTGCTGTATGCTGCCTAAAAAGCCTCTGGCTGCTAACCTAGGAGATTTGTGGGATATGGCCCTAGAGTAAAGGGGAAATTGGTAAAAGTCACTGACCCATCCCCCTTTTGTGGCCTGGAGTCTTTGCTGGATCATAACATGTTCTGCTTGCAGAAGGAATATTCTGGAGTCGTGATGTCAACTTTAATCACCATTTGTGCCATGTTCACTTTTTATGTCAAGAAACAGTAAAGCCCATGGATGAATACACAGACCTATGGAGTTATACAGTAAGCTCTGTTTTTAACGCCACTTCAGACACTCCCAAAACAGTGCAGCTGAGGGGAAATGAATACAATATTGTTTGGATTTATAAATTTTTGACATTATCTGACAGTGTGGGCTGTTTGGCAGTAGAATCACAAGCTTTGGGAGATGGTAGATGATGACTGCTTACAGTTTCTTAACAGGATGGGACAATTCCCAATAAGCTATTTTTCTTCCATAATTTACACAGAAGTGGACCCGCAATGTGCTGCTTCTAGGATGTTAGCAAGCAATGTCATCCATGTGACATGTGGCACATACGACTTTTTTCATATAAACAAAAAAGGCCTGAGCAAAAAGTATTACATGAAATCTGTTGATTTTTGCTATAGAGCAATGTTTTTTTATCCCACTCACTGTCAGGTATTGTGACAAAAAGGCAACCATTCCTTATTTTGGCAAAACATGAGGAAAAAAGCTGAAGTTAAGTGCTCTGTTAGCCAGTTAACACATAATAAGGCTTGAAAAATTTTAAAATGTCTCACCAGTCAGTAAAAAATTTCATCAGTCAGTATGACTGGACCATAGCCTTGCAGTTTATGTTAACACATTTAAATTCGGCACTTGTTCACTTTTATTTCTACTTAACAATGCGTACAAACCCAAAATAAATTGTATTACATACACGGTATTTGGCTGTCTCTTCTTAGGGGAAGAAAGGAGGTGTACAAATATTTTAAATTAAATAATAGATTAATTAATAAGTAGATTTTGGTGCAGTTCTCCAGCGGTGGAATGGTAGGGAGCTGGCTTTGTTGCCTGTATTCCTTTAAAATGTTTTTTATTGTTCTTTGTCTTTTCCTTTGCCATCTACTTTTCAGTTTGCTTGGTTGAGGGTGGGGGAATTTGAATTTCCCTCCATTTCCTGTCTTGGACAACAATTCCCACAAGCCTTCCCAACCAGCTCTGCTGATACCCAATCTAAGGTTCCCCCAGGTGTTCTTGGACTGCAATTCCCAGAGGTCTTCACCAGCAGTTGGCCAGCACAAGAACCACTCTAAGGACACCTGGGTGACCCAAGACTGGGAATCACTGATTTATACCCTCAGACTTGGGTTGCTTTATTATCTGTGTGCCTGTGGGATCATAAAGCTTGTATTTTGAATGCTTTTCTTTTGAATGTATCCAGCAAAAATAAAACTGAAAGCAAAAGCACCCAGCCTCTTAAGGAGCCACAGTTCCCTCCTACCCCAGGATGTGTCCTTGTTTGGTTGAAATTGGGAGCAGGGAATCTGCATCTTCTCCAGCATGGGACTACTCTACATTCTCCTGTAGAGTTATATCTCTATGTGCCACTTGAACTCTCGTCTCCCGAGAAGAGGGCAGTTTTCCTTTTGCGATGGGAGGGGAGAGAACAGGACTGCAGGATTAGAGAGAGAGAGAGACAGGTGGAGGGGAAAGAGCAGGGAGGGAGCAGCATTTTACACTCGTCACAGACAACTGGACTAGTGCATTTTTCAAGCCCTGCACATAATATCCTTTCATTGGGGGAACAGTTAATAATATATTGGAATTTTGTGGGGTACATCTCACAATGACAGAATTGAAATTATTTTTTTCAAATTTGACCTTTATTCCACTTTATGTGAAATCCAATTTTCTAGAGCTGGGTTTTTGAGTATTGTAAAACATACAATGTTCTTCAGACACTTCTTTGTGTTTGGAATATTTTATTTTTGATAGTACATTCTGAATTCTCAGCAGAATAGGAAAATGTGCAATAATACCAGTGTTTACTCTGTTTGTGTGTGCACGTGCTATAGGATTGGGCTGCTAGAGGCTGGGTGTGTTGTTGTAGTGGAAATCAAGTTTGTTGTTGTGGAATTCTTGATATGAACAAGGAGGTGGATTTGATGACTTTCATATCACTGCCAACTCTAATGCTTCTATAATGATGCAAGTCCAGTTTTTGAGGACCATAAAGGCATCTGGGCAGATTTTTAAAGAGAAGATGGGAGAAGACAATGCATGGTTTCTTTGCCTTTCTGTTACCAGGTCCTGGGTTTTTCCACAAACTGTGATGTAGTTCATGGCTGCATTTGGATGCTGTGCCATGTTACTGGATTGTGGCTACCCATTCTTATAAGTGGTTTGAGCTACATTGAGACCTAACCCATAGCAAACTTTGATTTTGTTTTTGGCATTGCTTTTGGCACTTAAAAAACATGTAGCTACGTCAACAATCTTTGTCCCTCTGCTTCGTCTGCATTTGTTTCCAGCTGATGTTTTAAGCTCTGTTTTTGGATACTGGTGGATGAAAATCACAGGTTGCTATGAAAACAAAAGTGGTGAGTTTTGAACAGAGAAACAAAATATGCTGATTCATCATGACCCTATAACAAATCTCCAGAAACAAACTTATGATTGGGAATGTGGCCAGAGAGAGAACAGATCCCTCAATGTTCCTGTTTGGCTTAGACTAGCATCTTGATTATTTACTGATTTGTAAAATGTCACCATGTATTGTGAAATTTCCTAGCCCATTTAATGATCATTTGAAAAAAACATTTTCGGTATGTCAGACCATCATGAACACATTTTAATCTGTTTGATTTCTTAATATTTGGAATAGCGTGTTCCATTTATAGGGTTCATGCTAGCACTGAGAAGCTACTGAAATGGGACCTGACAGATACACATTTGCTAAAATCAGCAGTGACTCAATTATACTATAGTCTCAAAGATGCTACAGACAGATTGGTCATTAGATTTTGGTTGTCACCACTTCCTCCAGGGGTGGCACACATGAGTTCTTGCTGCTTTCAACATCTCAGTCCTTTTCCACAACACTGTTGTAGCTGCAATAGAGATAGGCATGAACTGCCAGTTCAGTTGTTCATGCTGGTTTGTTTATCAGCCAAACAAGTGTTCAGCACTTTAAAGCCCTGCCTCTTCTGGTGGACACCCATGCAGAGGCAGTGCCCGGAGGAGGTGGGGCAAGGAAGCCACTAACTGGTGCTTGTTGCCCATCTCTAAACTGGAACCAAGGTTCCCTCTAAGGTCCGTGACTGTGCAAGTGTGTGTGACTCTGTCCCATATGCAGGGCTTTTCCTCCTCTGCACACCCACAGCAATAGTTTCCAGTGATGGAATCCTGCACAGGGGGCAGAGTCGCATGTGGTGGGGAGCAGAGTCACACATGCGAGGGGCAGAGCCTTGCCTAGTGGGGTTGCAAATTAGAGGGAATGTTGTCTGGAGCATTTCCAAATGGTTCCAGTTTGCAAGAGGAACTGGTAGAATTAGTAGTGTTGCACATCCTCAGTGTATGCTAACTGATATTTATCTACTGTACTTCTCTGAGGGCTGTAATGGTATGTAGGAGGCAATATAGTACTACTGACATTTTATAAAAGACATATGCATTTTATTTGTTTGTTACTCAGATAGTTTATAACAATAAAACATAAAACTATAATAGTGATTAATCAATTGAAGAAAACAGTGTAAAGTTTCAAGTAGCAGCAGGTAAGGCATACTCAATTTCACTAAAATACATGCATATCTACTTAACCATGAAGTTAAGCAGTAATCTTTCAGCCTAATCTACTGATTAGAATCACTGTGAAAAACTATACAAAACACAACTGCTCTGTGTATTTCACTAAGATCTCTTTGGACAGGGGTTTCCAAAACTATGACCTACATGTGCTTCTTCCTTCGGCCTTTGAAAATCTGGAACATATATGTTGTGGCCTTCACTCTGAAAAGTTTGGAGACCCCTGTCCTAGGAAGGAGAATAGAGCATAAGTAAAGTTATCCAGCGTTCATACATCAGCATCCTTTTCTGTTTGTCCACCTTATATGCAAAGTCATCATGAAATGATGAACTTGTTGGGATGATTTGTGTGAATTGTGTTACAATTTACTCATTATTGAAACAGAGAAAGACAGAGGTTAGAGAGGTTGCCTGTAAATTGTATGGTTATAGAACTTTTAG